CTCCTTCTGTGGCCAGATCTCCATCCTCCTCTGCCTTTTCCTCAGGGGCAAGGTCCTTCTTCTCTGACTGGTCCGTGGGGATCTCTGCGTCAGAGAGACAAGGGCAGAGGGTGACTCTTGCTGGGGAGGGGGGAAGAGGAAGGACAGGGGTGTGAAGGGATAGGGAGAGAAGATTTAATGTTTCCCCCTCCCATGTAAGCACCCAAAGGCAGAGAAATCCCCACACTGCCCCTCCCACAGACCTCTCAGCCCCAGGGCCCCATGGCAGAGAGATCCCCACACTACCCCTCCCAGAGACCCTCAGCCCTATGGCCCCATGACAGATGGGGCCCTTCACTGTCCCATCCTTCCTGGGAGTTGCCCCAAAGCATCAGGGACTCACTTCCCAGCAGCTCCCCCCATGCCCCACTGCAGGGGGTGGCTCTGTGACTCCCGCTGACGCCATTGGGCTCACGTGGCTCAGGCCAGACCCCTGGGCTGGGATCCCCCCAATGACTCTGACAGAGTGACTGGGTGTTAATGGCCCCTTGCTCCTCCCCATGCCCAGGGAGTCTCCTCACCTGCAGTGGAGGAGCACTCGGCCTCCGTGTTGCAGGGAGCCTCCAGGGAGCGGCTACTCTCCCCTCCGGCACCAGTTGAGCTGCTGGGGCAGCTATCCCCCAGCTCCTGCCCTGGGGATGCCTCCTGCTGGCCCACGCGGCTGGGCTGAGGGCTGGCCTTCCAGCAGAAGCAAACCCAGAGCTGCGCTGCCTGGCTCCTCTCATGGGCTGTGTCCTGCCTGCCCAGACTGAACGTGGGCCACCTCCATCTCGGCCTGGATGTCGTCTCTCTCCGCTCGGCACCAGCCCCGGGAGCTGGTTTCCTCCTGGTGAGCAAGGCCGAGCAGGTCCATCTCCTGGGGTGGCCGGGAGATGCTTCCCATGCCATGGGAATGGAGGGGTGGCTCTCTGTCTGGGGATGCTGGCAGCTGCCCCGCTCTGGCTCCGGGGCCACCTGCGGAGCCTTTCTCCTGAGAATCCTCCTCAGCACGTCCATCCTGGAACTGAGCAGGGAGCAGCCGTGAGTCTGGGGCAACGCAGCCCCTCACCAATGG